GTGTCTGTTTCGCCGCGATGGGAAAATTTGTCTTCCAACGGGACCATTCTTCCGGACCGGACAAGATGAATGCCTTTTGAAAGCCACACAAAAGATTACGAACAACATTCCGCCCGCTGTACATCGTACACGCGAGAGAGTATGACAGAGAGAGAGAGAGAGAGAGAGAGGGAGGGAGAGAGAGAGAGAGAGAGAGAGAGAGAGAGAGAAAACAGACAGATTCATATATTCGGCACCGCGAGAAAGAATAATTGCCCCGAGGCGCGGAAAAGAGCCTCAGGAAGAAAACAAGTCGCGCACTCGGAGGTCCGACGACGACGACGTCGCGCATGGCTGTCGTAGGACACGGGACGTCTCCAAACGCCCCGCGGTGTGTCCGCCGAGTGCTTTCCGCGTGCTCTCGCCGAGTCGCCTGAGCAGCGCGAGAAGTGTCACTCGAGACACACGACGGCCGCCGGCGAGTGACTGTTGTCGGAAGGAAAGCTCGTGCCGCCGGAGAGCTTCCCCTCGTGCCGCCCGGCGCTCGTCGCGTTTGTAAAGCCCACGGATAGTGCTCGGCGATGTTAAACGCTCGAGGAACGCTGATACGCCGCTCGTCGCTGAGCGCGCGCTGAGCGGGCCGGAATCCCGGAGAGGAAGCGGAACAGAGCCCCGGCCACGAGGAACCGCGCGCGCGCGCCTCGAGAGCGAGCCTCCTCGCGCGTTCCTCCCGGCGAGGGCGATCTGCCGTGCAGGACCGCGACGTCGCTCGGCTCGGCGAGAGGCCGTCGATGCGACGCCGCTTCTTGTATCGGTGTCGGAAGTGACGTCTGCCGATTCGCGGACGGCGCGGCGGCGCGCCCGCTCGATTCCAGGCCGCGACGCGGCTAACTGTAAAAATATCGGGGACGTCCTAATCTCCCGTGAAACCTCTCCGTCGGAGGTTACCGCAGGTGTCCCGCAACGCCGCGGGCCGTCTTCCTCGCCGGCATGAATCTTTCATGAGCGGCCGCCCGCTCCGCCACGACTCTCGTCGTGCTGCTACGCGGCCGCTCTCGCGGATAGCCGCGCGCCGTAGATATGCACCTTCACTTTTGCCAGGCCGAGAGAGGCTCGTCTTGCGAAAGGCTCGCCGCCGACGACGACGACGACGACGACGACGAAGACGAAGACGAAGACGAAGCCCTTCTTCTCCGTCGGAGAGCCGTCGCGGTTCTTTGAGGCCCGGCCCGCGGCTACACGTTTCATATTAATAATAATGATAATAATAAGCGTGACAACAATAACTTCATTGTACGCGTGACAAAAGACACGTCGTCGCATGCTCGCGCGGCCAGGGTTGCATCAGTCCTCCTCTCACTCACCGGGGCAGGAGGTGATATTTGCGAATGTAATCACGCGTGCTGAAATACGAGAGCCGGAAAAAATTACAGAATTACATTCTCGCCGCGCGCCGGCGAGCGCCGGTATTTTAATGTCGCCGATATTAATCCCCCGTTTGCGGTCACGTCGCTGTTGTTGTTACTTCGTCAGAGCGACGGACAGTTTACACGTTCACGTGCCGAAGATCGCTGTAGTTCGCAGCGGGATTGACCGTCTTGTCTGCTGGCCGGCACTCCTATCGCGTGTAGTACGCGCGGCTCTTCGCGAGCTGTGAAAACAGCATCGGGGGAGGGGGAGGAGGGAGGAGTGCGTCGATGAAACAATCGTATCGAACAGAAAACAATATCCGTTCTTTGACCCCGCTCGCTGATCGGTCTTGCGATCCCCCCGCGATACCCTCTGCGCGCGCGCGCGCTTAATAACATCGCGTTCTCCCGCTTTTTTACTGCTTTTTACTTTCACCCCAATTGTTTCCGCCGATTCTCTCACCTCGTTCTTCCTAGAGCGGGTTCTAGTGAATAACGCGCGCCTCCGGCCACCGGTTTTCACTTCAACGCTTCTTCTTATCGCCTCGCCTCGCAGGACGCAACGCGCCTCGCGCCGACCGAGACGACGAAAGAAAAATCAAAGAGGAAAGGAAGAGGTCGGTGCGTGCAAAAACGCGCGGTGCGATTTGCGTGAGAACAATTTGTCGCGTCGGTGGAACGATGCGCGGAGAGTCGCGGAGTGTGGTTATTGTTCGTCCGTTCGCTCGCTCGTTAATGGACTTCTGCGCCGGTTCGATCTCCGCCGTTTCTCCCGCGCTCGCCGAGTCGGCACCGAGTCGTTTTTGCCATATTCTGAAAAACGGGCCTTATCTCGGGGAACCGGTTCCGAGACAATGCTGTTCGTTTATGCGCTCGTCACCGTACTCTCGCGCACCGGGACATCCGCCCCCTCCGTCGCGCGTCTCACCTGTAAAACGGCCTTTACAGCCTCGCGGCTGTTGGCAAACGGTGAACAAGGCCGACTACTTTGCCGTGTGTAACTTTTACTTATTTCTGCGCACCTACGTTTCACTCATGGTGCGCTCTCGCCGGGGCCATTAATCACGCTGCGCTACACGCCGGGGATATACCGTTGCGAGCGGAGAGCTTAAGGACCGACAGGACGCGATCTATCCCGGCGAAGGAACGAAGGGAGCAGCAGGGGGGAAGTGGATGTAAACGCGAGCGAGACGAATCTCGAGCTTCTTCCTCGGAGTGTCAATCGTGTCGCAATTCGCTGCGAACGAATTCCGTGGGAGCGCGATAAATTCTCTCTCTCTCTCTCTCTCTCTCTCTCTCTCTCTCTCTCTCTCTCTCTCTCTCTCTCTCTCTCTCTCTCTCTCTCTCTCTCTGAGACGGCCTGGAAAAACGACGGCGAGACTCGCGCCGGGACGATGAGCCTTTTTGCCGAGCGTAAAACGCGATGATTTTTGTCCGCTGGTGAAAGCCGATGAGACAAGTGTGTCGCGCGCGCGACTTCGCCGGGGAAAAAGAAAAGGCGGACAAAAGCGCCTGGAAAGTCGACGCGTGGTTCCGAGGAGTGAGAGAAAAGAAGTGCGTTAACAAGCGGGACGTTAACAGCACGGACTCTCTCGTAGAGACGACTCTTGTAGACGAGATAATTCGCAAACGGGCGAGTGGGCTTTCCGTCGCGGCGACTAAGTTTCGATCGACAAAACTGGAAACTGCATTTTTACGCGCGAAAATAGACAGGAGAAAGAGAAGGAGAGAGAGAGAGAGAGGAAGAGAACGAAAGAGATAGAGAACCGTGGGATAGTTCGACACACGTTCGCGTCGCTCGGCGAGACGGCTCGTGTTTTAAGTGACAACCGGTCGAACTAGACTTTAAGAGTCGACGAAGCACTTTCCCGTTAACCACTTATCCGCTCCAGTTTTTCGCACTCGCGTCTCTTATCAGCGCCTTCATCGCGCGGCGCATCGCTTTGGGATTTACGCCGCCGCGGCCGGCCGGAAAGAAAGGCCAAATTCCCACATTAATTAGTACTCGGCGGGAGGTCAATTATCGAGCCCCTTGCGAAATTCAGGAAATGTCGCGACGCGGCGACTCTTTCAGCTCTCTCAAACCAGTTTGTGAAATAAGCCGGTAGCCGGCAGATAGTTGAGATTCTCGGAGATTTACAATACGGAGCGTGTGGCGCCGCGCCGCAGCGTTCTCCGAGTTTTGGCCGCTGCGGCGCGGCGTCCTCTCAAGCGACGAGGATGAGCGTGAAATGCTCGTGCAGGGAGGACAAGAGGGCGAAAGAGAGAGGAAGACTGAGAGAGAGAGAGAGAGAGAGAGAGACGCTCGTTTGTTCACTGAACAAACGAATTCCCTTCCGTCGCGCAAGCCACCACCTGGCGTTCTCTTTTCTACCTGCTGCGGCCGCTCGCGTCGATTCGCGGCAGCCGAAAGTTTCCGGGAAGTTTCTCCCTGCCCGCTGCGCGATGTGAAAATAGAATGCGAAAATACAGCTCGCCGGTGTGTGTATGTGTGTATGTGTGTGTGTGTGTGTGTGTGTGTGTGTATGTATGTATGTATGTATGTGTATGCTGCTGCGGCTGCTCTTCTCCGTATGCCGCTCGCGCGAACGCCTCTCACCTATTTATTCGGCGATTCTGCAAAACGATGGCGCTCGATAATTCATCGATTCGAAACCGAGAAGTGTTGCAGTCCGGCGGACTGCTAAATATTTCATGCGCCGCTGCTGGTGGCTGCTCTCCTGTTACATAAAACGCCGCTCGGAATTTTCTACGATCGCGTAACCACTCGATCCTCTTCCCCTCCCCCTGGCTGCAGTTCCGGCTGATTGTCTCGCGGGGAGCCTCGCGGGAGCTTGAACATCGTCGAACGTATCGTTAACGCCACACTTCGGCAAGGGGTTAATGAATGCGGCGCGTTTATCGGCCGCTTCACGTGGCTTTTCACGCTTGACCCGGCACGCGCGCGCGCGCGCGTTGCGCTGCGCTACGCTGCGCTGCGCAGCGCAGCCTCCCACTTTCACGTTGCGCAAAACATCGTTCGGAACGCGACAGCGAACGGACGACACGATTTACGGCTCCTCGTTGTTCTTTTGTGTTTTTTTTCGCCTCTCTCTCTCTCTCTCTCTCTCCCCCCCCTCCCTGTTCGCTGTCCGCAGCATTCGACAACGCCGACCGCGAGCCGTTACGACAAAACACACTCGAGCGCCGATTCGCGGATTCGTATCTATTGCGCCGCGTCGCGACGCTTCATTTCTCGTTTTTTCCCTCTCGCTCTGTTTTTCCCTTTGACGCTGTCCAATCGCGATCACTGGCGTGACGGTTGATATCCGCGAAAGAGAGATCTCCCGGAATATATCTCCGTCAACCTCGAACTTGTCGCATGTGGCCGAAACGTAGCGTGAAATTAATCTTGGGACGTATAATAAGCGCCGGTGCTTGGAGCGCTTTGACATTTACCAGGTTGAAATTAACTAGTCTCCCTAAACGTTTCCGTCGCGTTTAGATATAATTCTCTGATATAACGCGCGATGTATGCTACAACACGACGTGCGATGTATCGCAAGTTGTGAAAGTGACAGATCAGCTGAGACTTCTCACGACGATATTTATTCTTTTTTTTTTCTTTTTTAGGAAGCCAACTGAGTGTCATCGGAAAGAGATAGGTGAAGAGTGAGAGAGAGAGAGAGAGAGAGAGAAAGAGAAAGAGAAGCACTAACGACACGCGGAGGCGAGCAGGCGCTCCTCGAACAGGCAGAAAGGCGCGCGGCTGCTGCGGAGGAAGCGTGAAAGGGGAAAAGAGGAAGCCGCGATGGGAGAGAGACGCGGTACGAAGGCGCTGGAGCTCTGGTGCCGTCGAATAACCGACGGTTACCCGGGTGTAAACGTGCAAAACATGACCACCTCCTGGAGAGACGGGCTCGCCTTCTGCGCCATGATTCATCACTTTCGGCCGGATCTCATGTAAGTTTACAGCACGATGTGTGTGTGTGTGTGTGTGTGTGTGTGTGTGTGTGTGTGTGTGTGTGTGTATGTGTGCACGTGTTACCGGCCTTGTAAAGCGTTCTGTTTCCGAACGATATTACACCGACGGCGATACGGGCCATCCATTTTTCCAGCTTTTATCAAACTTTCCTTCCTTTATCAAACCCCCTCCCCTTCTCTCGCTCGCTCTCTTTCTCACACTTTCTTCCCCACCTCTTTTTCTCGATAATACGGATTTAAACGCGATTCTTCGGCTGCGACTGCTCTCCCGTTCTCGTCGAGTGTGTGCTTGTGTATGTGTGTGTGTGTGTGGGTGCGCGCATGCTCCTGAGAGCGCGATTTAGCCCGCACACATTGAGCGAGCGAACGCGCGACTCTTGGCGCGAGCTCAAATTGTTCTCGTTAAGTTGATTGTCCCGTGAATTAAGTATAACGGGGGAGAGCGAACGAGTGATCGTCGCCGCGTTCGCACCGGTGTTCCTTTCGTCTTACATTAATTATACGCGAGATACGTCGATTCGCCGCACGTCGTCGGCGAGAAAGTTCGTTATACGCCGTGAAAGTTTCGCGCACACGGTCCCGTAATGGTTAACAAAAGGGCGGCGTAAACGCCGACACGGGGTCGGGAGATTCAGAGGTCCGGACATTCAAGGACGACTCCCAGCAGTCTGAGTGCATTCGCGCTCCGAGGAATTATTAAAATATCCAGGAATCCGAGAGATGCAAAAATCCTGCGAGAGAGAGAGAGGAGGGGGAGGAAAAGGGAGAGGGAGGGAGAGAGATTCCGACGCGTCCTCGACGGATTGTCCGCTTCGCGGCAATCCCAGGATTTCGCGTCGCCGTCGCTCGGCGACGAAGGAAGGTCCTTCTAAAAATAGAAGTTCAGTGAATTGACGATCGATAAAGCAACAGCAGCCTGCACCCATCACGCGGGAGGATGTGCCTCTCAGTGTTTGCCGTTGATAAAGGAACGCAACCGGAATTGGACGTTGCAACGTTACGCAACGTTTGCGGGGGCGGTCGACACCTGTTCGTCCGACCTTTAAGACGACAAATATTCCCTCTCCATTCCCGTTCCTCCTCCTTTCGTCCCTCTTATTTCATTTCTCTCTCTCTCTCTCTCTCTCTCTCTCTCTCTCTCTCTCTCTCTCTCTCTCTCTCTCTCTCTCTCTCTCCCTCTCCCTCTCTCTCTCTCTCTCTACCTCTCTCGCCCCCCTTCCTCCCTCTTCCTCTCTTCCCTATCATTCTACCTCACTCTCGTCTTCATTCGGCTCATGGTGTCGACAGTCGCAAACTGACTTCAGCCTAGTTCCATATTGCGTAACACGCGGTTCAATTTGTCCGGGACGTAAGCCGTTTTCTTTCACGGCGAGGCGACGTCGCCATGAGCCACTGCTCCCTCATTCTCGAGTAATAAAATTAGCGGTCGTGGTCTCTCGAGCGCCGGGGGTTAACACCGAAACTGTGTCGACGTTCGAAGAAGTGACGAGGGCTTACGCGCGTTTTTCCCTTTTTCTCTCTCTCTCTCTCTCTCTCTCTCTCTCTCTCGCTCTCTCTCTTTCACGTTTATTTTTTTTTTCTTTGGTCCTTTTCTTTTGGTCTTTTGGCCCTCCCTTTCCCGTATCTTTCTGCACAGCGAATAATCAATAGAGCGGCATGAGGGAGGGCAAGTCCGACGCAAGTCGCGAATATCGAGAGATTTATTTACCGTCAATTATTCATGAGAACTAACGGCATCTCGACTTTTCTTGGCGAATATCCAAATATATACACATATGCCCCCAGATGTGGTCGAAAACATCCGATAATTATTGCAACCTTTCGGTACGTTGACACCACGAGTGAGTAAATAAATTACGCGAACGAAAAACGTGCGTTTGCGCTTCCCGCGGTGAAAAACGGCGATAAACCAAGCCAGCGCGTTCGACTTTTTAATAATCGCTCGTCGTGTTTCGCGGCGTGAGACGGCAAGAACAGGAGAAAAAGAGAGAGAGAGAGAGAGATTGAAAGAGATCGCAAAGAAGTTGCACGATTGGGTCGCAGTCCGTCGAGCGACGATATCCTGCGAGTTTCTGATAAACGACGAATAGGAGATCTCCCATCGTAGATTAAGCGGCTCCTTTAAGAAGAATGCGCTCTTCTACACGCGGACGAGCGAATCCCGGTCTTTCTTTATCTTGTCTTCGCAAAAAGCCCCCTCGGCTCCGGCCATCGATTGTATTTTTGTCCACTCGATTCTATCGCGGCGAGATTAGGCTCTCTCTCTCTCTCTCTCTCTCTCTCTCTCAACGCAATCATAGACGCCCTCATTTCATACCGGCACGGTCGAGCTGAGACGTTCTTCTTTGAGAGTCGTCGGCAAGACTGCGACGTGAACTTACGCTCTGGAAAAATCTACGTTTGACTCGAAGGGGTGAGGAGGAGGGGAGAGAGAGAGAGAGAGAGAGAGAGAGAGAGAGGGAGCGATATTACTCTGCGTAGGAGAACAAAAAAATAGTCAAAGCGAGGGCGAATTTTTTGACGAAGGCGAACGAGCCACGAATGATGTCTCCGCGCGGGTTCCACGACCGACGAAATTCGCTTCTTCTCCTTCTCTCGTCTCTTCCTCCTGCTGCTGCTTCTCGCTCTTCTCTCTCCTTCTTCCTCTCGTTTTTCCTTTTATCACGCTCGGGATCGTTGCGAAGCCATTCTTCTTATCTCCCGCTCTCTCATTGTCTTGGCAAGTCCGACGAAATCTACTCGGACGTAAACGGCGAGGGCAGTAAAACGACGAGAAGTTTTCCTTTACCGCCTTCCGTTCCCGCGACTGAAGCGGAATTTTCTGCCCGTCCCTCTCCGCTTTCAACCCCCTCGTCCTCGAGAATCTCAAAGCGCGCGCGAGCTCCGACTCCGAGCTATTTTAACTCTCCCCCCGGCAAAGGACAAAGGTTTCGAGGCTCCTGGCGGCGGTGCGCTACACGCGCTTTAATCGTTATTGCGTTAATAAGTGCACGGGAAACGATCGGGAATTAAAGAGGCCCGCGACGCGACTTTTGCGGGGGGCCCGGCAAGCCGAGGAGGAGCTGCGCCGAGACCGGGATCGGCTGTCCCGGAAGAGTATCACGTGAGAATATCACGGTGATCTGACGGCGGGAGGGCGCGGGTGAAAGTGAAACCGACAGGTGTGCCTGCGACCGATCGAAGAGGAGAATCGCGTGTTGCGACGAGCGAGCCTTCGCGGCGCGGTGAAATTCCGCGCCGCGCCGGGGTCGCGCGTTGATTCTAATAAACCGAAATAACCGCCCACGCGTGAGAGCCGCGCGTTGCGTTGACGACGGGAGGAAACGGTGACGACGCGTTTTCCCACCTCGACGTGATTATTTCGCAAGCATTTTTAATCGGAGGATTCATCAGCCCGCTGATCCGCCCGCTAGTTCTCTCGACCTGGTAGCGAAGTTATCTTTATCGGAGGCGTAGACGCAGGCTGGGAATATTAGACGCTGAGGACATAAAAGTGAGATTATGCGTCGGTCTGGTAATTTGATTTAATTAAAAGACGCTCCGTGAATGCACAGGGAACGACGCACAGGCTGGCTCGGTGAGTTAAATATCGCTCGTTCGAGTATAACATCGCGCGATCTTTTACTACCAAGCTGTTTGGAGGATCCGTTCCGAGCGTTGAGAGGAGAAGAATAGTTGATCCCGCTGATATTACATTCATTTTCAGCGTCGGCCGTATCTCTCATTGTCCAAACGAAAAATTACTATCTCTGCGTAATGTTAGCGCAGCGGCGCTTACCGCGAGAATGCTTTCCCCGACCATGATTATTTCACCGTGCAGTCGCAAGTATCGGACACTTTTCTCTCGAGGCTCTCGCGGCCACGAGATTAGCGTCGAGCGCGCTCGCGGATAAAATATCGCCGGTGAGCCGAAGGACGGGGGGGGTGCACAAACTCGTGTGGGGCTTTTCGCGGTTGCAATAGGAGAAGAAGCATAACGGCGGGGAAGGACGGGAACGAGGAAAGGGGTGGGTTAGGTGTGGCTGGAGAAGTCTGACTCATCCAGGCGTCTCTCCCCCCTCTCTCTTCATAATGTATATAATGTATATCTGGATGAGGGGCGAGACTGTTCGTCATCTATCATCAGTTCCGCGCGCGTTCCCAGCACGCGCGAGCCGTGCAGACTCGCGGAAAAGTCTCCACAATTACAGCGCAAAGACCGCGAGAAAGAGACGCACAGAGGAAGAAGCGGAAGAACGAAGAAACCGAGATTTATGGCCGCCCGTAATCGGTACCGACGACCGATCCTTGGCGAACGAGATCCTGAATATCGCATCGCTCGAAATTTCACGGCGCTTTGCCTCGCGCTCGGCTGCGAGAGAGAGAGAGAGAGAGAGAGAGAGAGAGAGAGAGAGAGAGAGAGAGAGAGACTTCGCGCATAGCATCTCCGAAACATGTACAATGCGACCGGCATCGCGCGCGGCCTGAGCGACGTCGATTTCACGCTCTACATAAATCGCGACGAAAGTTTAACATCCGCAGCCGCTCGCTCGCGCGGGGCGCCTCGTTATCGCGGCTATCAGTCGAAGCCGGCAGAGCCGCGAGAACGGCGGCGGCGGCGGCGGCGGCGGCGAACAGGTGCTCTCGTCTTTCGACCTAGAATTTCAAGTATTACTTCAACTGCCGAGCAATATGCACCGATGCGGCTTTATGCATATCGATTTACCTAAAAGTGGAGCACTCGTGGCGGCGGCGGCGGCGGCGACGGCCCCGCCATCGGCGGATTGTAAGCGCCGCCGATGTAGGTGCTCCGCCGAAAACTGTATTATCAGTCGCGAGCGTTATCGGGAAGAGCGGTCGACGCCGTCACGGTGTGACATCAATCGTGCCGGGCACTCGCCCTGATGAAGGATGCTGCGTGCAATCTGGCCGGCTCGAGAGCGCGCGCTCGGCACCGCTCGCGGCTTTATCACGCTGCCGCGTCTTGCCGCCGGACGCGGCTCATAAGCTCCCTTCCGACGACGACCTTTCACCCACGTCGTCGTCGCTTTTCAGCGCTTTTCAGAGCCTTTGAATGCGAGATACACGGTCCCCTTGCCCCCCGCGCGCTCCGCCGCGGAATTTCTTCGCCGGCGATATTGCCGCGGCTTTTCGCGCCGCGCCGTGCTGGTCCAGCAGCAACCGGCGCTTATTGACATTGCCGTAGATATGCCAATGACTTTCTTCAGCCGGTGCCAGCGCGTTATCGAGTACTCATTCCCGAAGTCCTCGGGCCGAAATGGCGCGGCGAGCTGGTCGCTGTCCGGATAAAGGGCCGGAGTTTGACCCTGCCGAGGGCATGAAAAATTATGAAGGAGCGAACAGGCTGCGCTGTGATGGTCGATATTAAGCGCGACAATTGAACTGAAGTTCGTGGTTAGTTGAAGCTGGCGCTTGATATCTTGCCAACCCCGGGCCGTCCTTTGTACTTCGACTGAACCGGGTCTGCAGGCCCGGTAGATATTTACGTTTCGGAAACGACCGCTTCGCCGCGATAATAGTCTTCTCGAAGGACCTACCGTTCCGGTGATGCGAGCCAAGTACTCGTTCGCCATGCAAGATGAATCATACATTCGCAGAGTCTCTTTTCAGTCATGCGAAAATTGAATTACGACGTACACTCTCTACGATGCAACCCCACCGCAGCGCGCAACCCGATAGGGCCGCCTTCGCGTTTCCGGTGTATTCCGTTATACGCGGAATACACGGCGGCGGCGACACGCTACGACGATTTCAATATACGCGACAAATAACGTCGATCGACAATTGCGCGCGGCAATCGTATTCGAATATGTTGCGCGCCGCGATTTGCCGGTTGCAACACGGCGAACGCCGCCCGCGCCGGGGCGGCGTTCTCTCGTATCCGCGCTCTCCTTTCTTCGTTGCCGTATGACTGATGAGCGCGAATCGAGTTACCTGCAAAATCGCGGGGCTGATGAGAAAGAAGGAGGACGCGTCAAAAGTCGCGAGTGACTCCCGCCCGTCGTCGCGATCAGCCCTCGCTTCAGCGGCAAGGTGCCTTCGTCGTCTCGTAAATATCTCCCGAGAATTCGAAAATCCTGCGACTTTTAGAATCGAGCTGTCGCCTGATTAATTCATTTCGCCGTCTCGTCAAGCGTCTGACGGCTGAACGTTTTTTCTCTCACGAGACCCCTTTCACGTCGATGAGATATATTTGGAGACGGGGGACGCATGTTATCTAAACACATTCGTCTGAGTCGTTCGACTCAGCCTACTGTGTGTGATTAAAATTATCGACGATATCGTCGCGTGACAATTACTTCTCGAGATGCGCAGAATCGCGAGCGGCCGCGGATGTTCCTTCAGATGAAGACCGAGCGTATACATAAGCATGTCGTTTGCAAGATTACTCGGCGCGCCGCGACCTACCGTTTATTTGTATCGTCTTTAATGAAAAAAGCGATTCCCACGGAGTGCTCCCACAGCGGGGTCGACAGGGGCTCTCACTAATTCAAGGAATCTTTTTTACACATCCGACGCTCTTTCATCGGCTTGACCTTCGGCGGCGAATAAATGTGGACGATGTACCGCGAAGTTATATGTCGAAGTAACGAACAGTGGGAGATTTCTCACTTATGCAGAAGGATAAAACCGGCGCCGGGCTGCGCCGTGTCACCTCGGCCCTTCTTCGTACTTCTTGCCGCATCCTGCTGATTTTCTTCCCTCTCTTGTCTCGGTTGCAGCGACTTCAACAGCCTGAACAAGGACGACGTGTACGGGAACAACGAGCTCGCGTTCAGAACAGCCGAGCAACATCTCGGGATTCCCGCGCTGCTGGACGCCGAGGACATGGCGTCGTGCACGGTGCCCGATCGATTGTCGATTCTCACCTACCTCTCGCAGTTCTACCAAACTTTCGGAGGTGAGTGCGCGATATCTGCCGATAGCTCGGAAACGAGTCAGCGAGTTCACGTTCGGCCGCAAAAAGATGAGAACAAGGTGGAGAAACCGAGGGGGGAGGAAAAAGAACCGGGCGAAGAGGCAACGAGGAACGCTTCTTCCCTCTTGCGCTCTATAACAGCCGCCTTAGGACATCTCTCGTATCTCGAGCGAGGTCGCTCGAGCGAGAATAACGCTGGGTGGTTCGCAGCGGTGTTTTCTCCTCTCCTCTCGTTCGATTCGATTGATTATTCTCGGATTGCGATTCATTCACTCGCCGTGTCGCATTGTCGCTATAATAAATGCTCGAAACCGAAATAACAGCCCCATCGCGCGCGCATGTGCTCCCTCTTTCTCTCTCTCGCTCTCACACGTCCAAGCGCATCCATCGGTGGTGGCGTTCGCATTTGGCAGCCCTCATATTTTTTTCACAAGACACTCGGATCTGACCCAAATAAGTCCGTCGCGCGGATACTCGTCTTCGGGTGAGCAAGTGATGGTGGGAGGAGGGGAGATGTGTGCGACGCGCGCTTCTGGTGGCAGTTTTTGTTCTCAATCTGGCTATCGACCGCCCAGCGCTCTTTTCATCGCTCTTCGCTAGACAGCTCTATCCGATACAGTCCTGCCGGAAAGTACGTCAACGGGAGGCTTTTTTACTCCATTCCCCCTAAGAAAAGCGCGATTATGCTAGCGCCGCGTCGCTGCTGCTGCTGCTTCTTCTTCTTCTTCTTCTTCTTCTTCTTCTTCTTCTTCTTCTTCTTCTTCTTCTTCTTCTTCTTCTTCTTTTTCTTCTTCTTCTTCTTTTTCTTCTTCTTCTTCTTCTTCTTTTTCTTCTTCTTCTTCTTCATCTTTTCCTCCTCCCGGTGTGTACCGTTATTTTTACGGGAAACGTAATTTACGTAATTCGCCGCTTCCTCGCTCGACAAGAGAGGAAAAGAGAGAATCGAGCCGAGGAAGCGGGGATCGAGCGAGAGGAGGGCGAAGCATGCAAAAATGTCGCTTCCCGAGCTTCTCGGAGCAGAGTCGCACCGAAAACGAGGGAAAATCCAGTCGAAGCGACGGCGAAGACGCCTCACTCGGAATCGCGCCGCATCACCGGATGTTTCGCCGAAGTCGCAGAATGAGTCTTAATCGACGCGAGCGGCGCGGTGGTGAAATGCTTCAGCCGATTATCGCGAATTTGTTCCGGCGAAACGACAAAGTGTGTATCGGAATCGCTCTTCAATTTCCAATAAAATGTTCATTCGACGACCCCGAGTGGACAGTTGGAGCTCTGCGCGAGTGAAAAGTCGCTCGAATTCGAGTGACCCGGCGGCTGTCACTCCGCCTCTTTCGAGCGGAATTTCACCTGGAGAAGTCCCGAAAGTAAGCGGATCGATCACAGTCGTTTCAGTACTTCGACGGCATCACAGTCTTTGCATTCTCGATAATTCACGAGTGTGATCGATCGATTCCGTTCGCTGAATACTCTACAATTTTGCGCACACGCAGAATATCGTGTCTCTGTGTGCGTGTGTGTGCGTGTGTGTGTGTGTGTGTATATCTCCGTTTCTCTCCTCTCCCTTCATCCGTCAATTCGCCCGATTCGCCCGGGGTGAAAAAAAAGACGGCTGTATCGGCACGCGCATCGTGTTCGCTTTCAGGTGAAAATCAGGCGATCCCGATCGACAGGTATCGTGACGTTTGAAACGTCGCGACACGTTAACGTTTCGCGCGAGATCGTTGTTAAATGGGCCGAATAGACTACACAGATCGGACTCGTGTCAGCGATCGCTTTCTAGCTCTCTCTCCGCTTCGCGGGCCGACGTCTCTCTCTCTCTCTCTCTCTCTCTCTCTCTCTCTCTCTCTCTCTCTCTCTCTCTCTCTCTCTCTCTCTCTCTCTCTCTCTCTCTCTCTCTCTCTCTCTCGCAATTGTCCCTCCGATTAGTATCTCGCGCGGCGACGTGTGTCGCGGAAGTCGCAGGCGTGCCCGTGAGGTCGGTATTTGCTCCAATAACGTCACGGAATTTTGAAACGCGAGGTATACAAGCTGTCCTAAAAATCACACTCTTTCTCCTGTCTTTCTTTCTCTCTTGCTCGCCCAGCTGGGACGTTTGTCGGCGAACATAGAGCCGATTTGTTCACCACGATATATCTCACTCTGCGGACGTGGTAATTTTATATTTTAAGTTCATTTTGTTTGCTTTTTAACGTGTGTTGGCGATAAACATTTCAACTACGAGTTTTTCTCTCTCTCTCTCTCTCTCTCTCTCTCTTTCTCTCTCTCCCTATCTCTGTGTCTGACGACGCTCGGCGCTGAACTAATATTTAATTCGTCATCCTTATCGGCTCTCGCGCGCTTGATCTTGATTATCAAGGACGCGCGCGCGATTGCCGGCTGTCCGATCGCGCGACGGCAGGATGACTTTGAAAATTTGAGTAGCCACTTGTTGAGCCGCCGCAAGATTTGCATTCTTTTTCCGCGGTCTTTTTCACCGCTCCCATCGCGATTGGAAAATAGCTGCTGTGCTGCCAGCGGCAGCAGACCAGAGCGGCACCGCCCGTCAGACCAGCATCGACCACGTTATCATTTGCAACCACTTGTTGAACCAAAGGTTATTACACGCATCGTAATAATTCGCTTATCGTTATTCGCGATAAATACAAATATTCAGACCTTATCTCTCTCTTCTCCCCATTTTCTCCGGAAAGCCCCGCACCGCATCGCAGCGAACGTAACAGATCGCGCAGATCGCAATCTCGTTTCGCATCGTTGATCGCGCGCGTCCGTCTCACCGTCAGAATGTGTGCGTACGTGCGCGCGTGCATGCGTGCGTTCATTCCTCGACGACGCGTCTCGCGAGAGAGGAGGTCGCGCGTCAATTATTCGGCTCGTAGCCGGCGCGAAATCGCGCACTCGCCTCGCTTTGAACGTCGTCACCCGCGGCGTTTCGTTACGCAAAAGTGTCGATGTTATAACGCGTCTTTCTCTCTCTCTCTCTCTCTCTCTCTCTCTCTCTCTCTCTCTCTCTCTCTCTCTCTCTCTCTCTCTCTCTCTCTCTCTCTCTCTCTCTCTCTCTCTCTTTCTCTCTCTCTTTCTCTCTCTCTCTCTCTCTCTCTCTCTCTCTCGTTCTCCCTTCCTCGCGGTCTCTAATCTCTCGCCTCCGTCGCCTTGCCGCTCCACCTCCTGCGATCGTGATTACTCGCGATTGCGAAAGGGGAAGTGCGTCATTTGCTGGAATAATACCCGCGCAGGTATTTCGATCTTACGCGCCGTCGTCGTCGTTGCGGATCTGCGACGAACGTGCGACCTCATTAAGAACAGTCTCTCTCTTTCTCTCTCTCTCTCTCTCTTTCTCTCTCTCTCTCTCTCTCTCTCTCTCTCTCTTTCTCTCTCTCGCGCGCGCGCGCTCTCTTAGGTTTCTAATCCTATGGATTTTCAGCACGCTGGATTAACCGTCCCGTTAACCTTTGCACGTCGCGATTAATCGCAATCGAGGGAGCTGCGATCGGCTCCTCTATTCTGGCTGTGTTCTCGGTAAATGCCTGCTCGCTTGCAAATTAACGCGATCGCGAGGACTCTATCCCGTTTCTGAAATCACTACCTGCTGGCACGAGGAAATTGCCATATCGCTCGAGTAGTCAACGTCCTCCGCAGCTACTCTGTACAGCTGCATTAGACATTCTGGGATAGAATCTCGGTGCTTCTGTTAATGGACGAACCGCAGACGTGTTAGACGTTAGTTTTGCATTAGCGAGTCGATGAAGTTACGTTACGTCGCTCGTTCATCATCGTAGCGAGCGCTCTTGATTCTGTCACCGTTGTTTTTTTTTTCCCCCTCTAAATTCGGCACGTCGGACGATTTTGTAAAATTGGAATTTACATCGTTCGTTGAAAGGACGAATTTAGTGGAAAATAAGGATCTCAGATGTGCCAGATGAAACAAAATATCAGGCTAATGAGAATGTAAATCACATATAAACGTACGTTTATTTACGTTTAATTACGCGATGCAAGAATCTGTTGCGCGAACGTGGCTTCTCCGGGCATCTCTGCGATAAATTTGCTGAACAACGGCTTATTCGATTAAAATAATATTCCGATTCGCAAGTTGAACGATTCGTCGTCGGGGAGAGACAACGCGGAGAGACATGCAGAGAGATGTGGATTTTCGGTGTTTCGGCGATTGAAAGTCGATTCGCATGGATGTATAAGCGAGCAACTTTACTCGCATTCGCCCCGAGAGTTCACGGGTTTACTTCTCCGTCGGCTCGCAGGAAAAAAGTCAATATTGTTCCAACAAAAGCGTATTTCCGCCCGCATTCGTTCGGACTAAAGCGTACCGACCGACAATAGCGCGGTCACTTCCGGCTCACAACGCATACATATTCATGTCACGAAGGAAAGTTGTACAGGACGTTCCATAAACCACATCAGCGTTCTGTCGAAGCGGCTACATCTCGCTTTGGAAAGTTGCTCGTGTCCGGACGTGATTTATCTTTTAAATAAGCTTCCTCTCGCCGTCCATTATCATAACTTCGTCGCCGAGAGAGGCGAATTACGCCCGCGCGCCGGCGAGTTTCCGCGGAACTCCTCAGATTTCGCCGCTAATAATCGTCATTACCGATCAAAAGGTCAATTCGGCTCTTGGCGCCGGCGCCGGCGCGGTGTGGCAGCAAGAATTTCAGCTTTTCACTCAACGATCATAGGATGAAGGAACTCGATTCGTTCTTATTATGAATTGTTTTTCAACGAGGCGCGACTACCGCGACGACGAAGTGATCGAAGCAACGTCGGCATTTCTGTTGCAGGATCCTCGCCGAGTCGTTTGGCGACCAACAGAACGACCGAAAGTACCGACGAGAGGATCGCCCCTGTTCCGGAATCTCCTAAACAAAAGGTACGCCATTTTACAATTACGATCACAGTCAGTCAGTCGATCGATCGATCGATCGACCGATCGGAGCAGACACGCTTCTCGTAACTTTCTTTTGCCGGCTCCCCCCTCCCCTATTCTTTTCTCCATCATTATACGTAATTTTACAAAGTAATCTTGTAAATCGCGGGCTTGCGGAAGGAGGAAGGAAGCTCTCTCTCAAGCTTTTCCAGAGCGGAGAACTCTCATCACGTCGTAACACATTGAGTGGTGTAACGCATCGTCCGCGCGTATAAACTTACTTTCATATAATTAATTGCTTATTTTGTGCTCCGCGTACTTCAATATAATTTAACTTGTGAAACAAAAACGGGCGCGCGCGCACATATGTGGAAGGGATAGCCGCGCGCCGCTTCTGCAATTCGCTTTATTCATGCGGCGTGTCTCTTCCTCTTTTTTTTTTCTATTTTTCCTCTTGATTCTCTCATGTTTTATTTTCAAGCACGACAGCGTGAATTATTAAACAAGCCATGCGTCTCGTCCAGCGAGCGCCGCGACCGGATAAACTTTTAATAAACCGCGTGTTTAATTCTTAATAATATCTTTGACACTCAACGTGTTAATCATTGGCTGCGTTCAGTAGAACAAAATGATCAGTGAGCGCTTAATGATTATTGTCTGTGATTGAAGCATTCTTTTAGATTTTTCATAGACCCAGAAGTATTTACCAATCAGGAGTGAGAATCACTAAGCGCTCACTGATCACTTTGTTCTGCTGAACGCAGCCACTTTCTTCCTGTTTTCTGTTCTCTTTTCTTCTCATTCTCTCTCTCTCTCTCTCTCTCTCTCATTCTCTCTCTCTCTCTCTCTCTCTCTTTTTTCTTCTCTCTCACTTTACTCACGTATCGCGTATTCATTGCGAGACTGGTCGATCCACCTCGCGGATTCATTTTCAAAAGGCGGAAGTGGACACGCGCGCAGAGCTCAAATTCGGAGTTTTTTCTCACGCTTACGGAAACCGAAAAGAAGATTCTCGAGAGGAGAGCACACCGTTAACGAATTGCAATTCGGCTCGGCATCCGTTCGTCGACGAGCGACGACGACAACGGCGGCGGCGGCGGCGGCGGCGCGTGGTTTACCTTGACATCGGCGTCATCGCGCGCATTGTAACAACATCGGCAACGACAAATGTCATCGTCGGCGTTTGTGTAATCGCATATACGCGTGTACATTATCGACACAGTCCCTCCTCCTCCTCCTGCTCCTCCTCTATCCCTCTCCTCTCGTCTTCTCTCCAGTGCCTCTTTTGATGTGCGCCCTTTTTCCATTATCTCTTGCTTAATGACCGACCGAAGATGAGATGAGATGAGAGAGAGAGAGAGAGAGAGGGAGAGAGAGGGAGAGAGAGGAGGATGAAAGAGCTAGAACGTAGGCAAGAAGAGGCGGCAGGCTCGACGGCACGATCATCGCACACATAGTCGCACGCATACGAACGATCGATTGTGCTCTTTTGTGTGTCAAGTACACTCCCACAGCGAGAGATGCATAAATTTTATGTGTTCGGTAGCTTGGTATTGACAACGATAAATGGGCGTGTATAATGTTATGCAATGTGAAACTACACAGAGAGAACGATTTAGTTGAATTTAACAAATGCTTATTTTGAATAGTCCAAATAAATTTTTTGATTGATCGAACGAAGTTTTGTTTGACGCAACAAAAATATTTTGTTGTCAGCTTAGTTCCAACGAAATGTTTTTGTTGCGTCAAACAAAATTTTGTTCGATCAATCAAAAAATTTATTTTGACCATTCCAAATAAGCATTTGTCAGATTCAATTAAATCGTTCTCTCTGTGTAGGAAAGAGAGAAACAGAAAAAGAGAGAGAAAGAGAGAGAGAGAGAGAGAGAGAGAGAAAGCGACGTTTGTGGTCACGTGAAACTGTGAAATCTCCCTTTTTCTCCTTCTTTTTCTTCTTTTCTTCTTTTTTTTCTTCGTCATCTTGTTCTCCCCTTTCGGCAGCTTGCATTCTCTTGCGAATAATCAATTGGCACTGGTCGATGTCCGAGGATGTATGTGTTGATTCTACGTGTATATGTCTCTGTCTGCCGTGTGACAATGTGAAAGATCCTGTTTGATGTCCGTTTTTCCTTTATCGCGTTCTCGCGGGTTGAAGATTTCGCGGCGGAAGGGAGAGAGGGCGGATTTTGACTGTGCCGAGCCCTCGTCCGAGATGAAAATTCGCATGTCCGCGGATCGTCCGCGGCGGAATCCTCTTCCTCCACGTCGTGGAGAAGGGGCAAAAATAAAGAACACACCAAAGGTCACGAAGAGAAGCCTCGAAGAGGGAGGGGAGGGGGGCAGGAGGAGAAACACGCCGGTTGGCGTGTACGGTATCCGTGTTTCCGAGGATCCATTTAGCCGGTGATTTCGCGGCCAACAATGACCGCTTCTGTCAGTCATTCCGGCCGTCTTCGTGATCCCGATTCCAGGCTCTTCCTCGTACTCACTTACTTACCGCAGCCCGCTATTGCTACCTAGACCGGTACCGTAGAATCGTCCTTAATAAGCGGTCGCGAGAGCATTTGCATTCGTCGGTACAGTGCACGCGAAGGAAAGAAGAGGAGGAGAGTAAGACGCGTGGCGAAAAATTCGGACCGAACGAGTCGCGGGTGAAAAACGAGTTCCCTCGTCAGCGTATTAAAAATAATCTCGATCCCGGAAATCCCTCGTATCTTATCAGATCGTCCGGCGACCGCAAACGTTACGATGGATTTTTCTTCGTCCGTCCACAGTCGGTCTTTTTATTCTCAATCTCGACAGAGAGAGAGAGAGAGAGAGAGAGAGAGAGAGAGAGAGAGAGAGAGAGGGAGAGAGAGAGAGAGAGAGAGAGAGAGAGAGAGAGGGAGGGAGAGAGAGAGAGAGAGAGAGAGAGAGAGAGAGGGAGGGAGAGAGAGAGAGAGAGAGAGAGAGAGAGAGAGAGAGAGAGAGAGAGAGAGAGAGAGAGAGAGAGAGAGAGAGAGAGAGAGAGAGAGAGAGAGAGGACGTTCCATTCTTCGTCGTGGATCCTTTTAACATCGCGTGCCTCCGTACCTAAAGCCTCGATTTAAAGTTCCATTAAATCCCGAGATTGACTAAACGATACGATTTCGTCATCCGTTTGCGCTCTTGGAGCGTATTTTTGCGATGAAGAGAGAAACGGGGATCCTTCTCTCCTTCGATCGCCCGTTACGTTCTCCTGGAGAGCCGCCGAGCCGTTTTCGCCGGAGGAAAAGTCGAGCCCGTAATCACGGGGGAATCCGTCGTTAAAATTAAGGTCGTGCGATTCATGGCGACGCTACACCCCGGGTGCCACGAGCAAACACCCGTCAGCACACTCGGCCGAATACCTCTCTCGCGCGCCGTCCCCGAGGTACTTTGTATATCCTTCGCACTAATTACCCTTATCGTCGCCGCCGCCGTGGACTTTGCTCGTTCGTTTCGCTGTCGAAGCTCGACCCACATGCGGCGAGTTTTCCCGTTCGAGGATCCCATCGATCAGTCGGTCCGCGTGCTGAATCGCTTATAATGCACGTCCGTTTCGCAAAGTCGACGAATTTCCGCAAAGTAGAGGCGGGAGAGAGTGAGAGAGAGAGAGAGAGAGAGAGAGAGAGAGAGAGAGAGAGAGAGAGAACGAGAGACATTGCTCGTGTGCACGTATGACTTCTTCACGTCGGCCTGTCGAAAGAGCAGAAGACATGACGTGGGCAGATATTGCATTGTTCTGGAAAAAAAGTGGAATTCGGAATATGGAACAATTCTCCGAAGGCTAGTAGAATCTCGAGTATTATTTGATTTTTATTCTTCCTCAAGTCCGTCCGGATGTATTATATTCTTCCTTGATTAACGGGCTCATCATCCTTTTGGGACCTCGCAAAAAAAAAGAATAACTACCGAAAAGAAAAGAAATGTTTCACGCGTGAAATTTATTCGTTTATTTCAACGTTATCGTACTCTTTTTGAAAAAGATACAATCAATAACGAAATAGTCACGTACCGTTGTTGCAAATTATTTCGGCAAAATATTTTGTATTTTTCGGTGCGCGCATTATCGGGGTGTCGATGTCATCGCCACTTTTCAAAGCGATATCGCGCGCTTACAATATTTTCAAAACGGATTGCATTTCTGCAGACTTCGCTTTATGATGTGCAGCAATCTCTCGGAAAGCTCTCGTTCCGGATCACGAAGCGCCGATTTTCCGAGACAATGCATGTCGCCAAGCGTGACGCGCGCGCGTTTTCGCGACGAGCGCGAGCCCGGTTTCGTGCGTCCGTCCCGATTATCATAACCACCTGCCATAGTTTCAAACCGACACGCGTGAGTCACGCGGCGAGGCCGTCCGCGGTTGCGTGTATATGTGTGTGTGTGTGGGTGTGTGCCTTTTTTCTTTCCCGTCTTTTTATCGTACACTTCCGACGTCCATCGCTCGTCGCATCGGTTGGCGGCGTGTCGCAGTATCGGGAGCGTATTCCGCTGGCTGTTGTCGCAATCGCCTCGCTGATCGGCCGAGGTAAAACGGCAAAGTCAAAGCGAATGCACGCACACACGCACGCACGCACGAGTGCGCGCAAGTGCCACCGGTAGAGACAGCAGTACGTCCGCGGACGATCCGCGCGTTAAGCCACCGGCCGGGGAGTTGTCGTCATCGCTCGTCCTCGCATCGAAACGTGTGTCAATCCGCCCCCTTCGCCGCCCCCGCCGCCCCCATCTCTCTCATCGTTTATTTTTGTTCTCCAGGAGGAAAGCTTGGACTTAATGGGGCAATATAAACCTGAAATATTCTGCTAGAAGGTAATTTCGCTTTGTCGTTATTGTTTTGCTTGCCTTGATGGTCGATCGTTGGGTAACTGCATGTTGGCATGCTCCGAAATGCGCGCGCACACACACATACACACACACGCACCCGCGCGCGCGTATACATAACGCACACAGACATATGCATGCGCGCGCGCGCGCACACACACGCACGCACGCACGCACGCAC